TTATGAGTCAGAACTGACTCTATAGCACTTAATGAAAACAACAACAAAATATGAGTTATGGATTGTAAAGAAAGCTCCACTGATCACCTTCAGCTCTCAAATGTGAAAGGAATCAAGTAGGAATGTGTATTGAATTCTTCTAAGGCACTGAGTTACTTATAATGGGAAAACATGGGGAACAAACAAACAATAAAATAAAAAAGGAAAAAGGAAACAGAAGCATGGTGTTACCTTTAAAGGTCTTATACAGCACAATGGAAAATCAGATACCAATACATCCTGCTGCGAGTGGAACAAAGACACCTTCTGGAATCATGAAGCCAAGCAAGGGCTTTGGGTGTTCCACATATCACTAACTAGATGTGGCCATTTGCACAACAAATCCTTTTCTTTGGATCTCATTTTCCCGATCTGTAAAATGGGGAGGGAGGTTGAACCAAAAGGCCCCTAAGGGTACTTGTGCTCAGAAACATTGAGCTGGTGTGGTATCCATCAGACCACCAGGATGGAAACTCAGGGGCTCAGTGCTCCTTCTCAGCACCACATGCCATCCCAGTGGCTCACCCTGCCATCTCCACCCATGTCTGGCACACATTGAATCCCCCTCTCCCACAGCCCCTGTGTTCACTCTTACCCAGCCCCGCAGAAGCTCATAGGCGGTGACTCCCAGGGACCACCAATCGACAGGGTACGAGTATCCAGGACCTCCGTCCACATACACCTGGAACACTTCTGGAGCTGCCGATGACAGGACAAAGAACATCATGGGTTTTGCTACAATCCACAGAGACCACCCTTCAGAGAGCCAGGCATGGAGACACAGCTTACAGAGACCACCCCTCAGAAAGTGAGGCATGGAAAGGTACAACTAGCGGGGCCCTGGCTGAGCTGGACTTCTGGGGCTGAGCTCTGAGTTCTAATTAGCACTGGTTGTGTGCAGACTGGACAATGAAAATGGAAGGTCAGTGAAGAATTGATGCATTTGAACTGCGGTGTTGATGGAGAATATTGGATATATACCATGGGCTGCCAGAGGAATGAACAAATCCGTCTTGGAGGAAGTACAGCCAGAATGCTCCCTACAAGTGAGAATAGTGAGACTTCATGTCATGTACTTTGGATATGTTATCAGAAGGTACCAGTCCTAGAAGATGGACATCATGCTTAGTAAAGTGGAGGGTCTGTGGGAAAGAAGACCCTCAAGGATATGGATTGACCCAGTGGCTGAAACAATGGGCTCAAGCACAATGTCTTAGTTGTTGTTGTTGTTGTTAGGTGCCATCCAGTTGGCTCTGACTCATAGTGACCTTGTATAGGATTTCCAAGGAGCAACTGGTGGATTTGAACCACGCACCTTATGTTCAACTGTCCAGAGCTTATCGTACAGTGCCACATCAGGACTCCTTAGTTGTCTAGTGCTACTATAACAACAATACAACAAGTGTGTGGCTTTAGCAAACAGGAATGGAGTCTCTCACAGTTCGGGAGGATTGTTGTTAGGTAACACTGAGTAAGTTCTGACTCGTAGTGATCTTAGGTATGACAGAACGAAACACTGCTGAGTCCTGCGCCAAGTTCACAATCATTACGCTTGAGCCCATTGCTGCTGCCACTATGCCAATCCATCTCATTGGGGGTCTTCTTCTATTTTGCTGACCTTTCAGTTTACCAAACATGACGTCCTTCTCTAGAGATTGCTCCCTCCTGATAACATGTCCAAAATACGACAAATGAAGTCTCTTCATCCTGGCATCTAAGGAGCATTCTGGCTGCTCTTCTTCCAACACAGATTGGTTTGCTCCTCCTACAGTTTATGGTATATTTAATATCCTCCTCCAACACCATAAGTCATATGCATCAATCCTTCTATGGTCTCCTTTATTCACCATCCAACTTTTACATGCATATGAGGTTATTGAAAATGTCATAACTTGAGTCAGGTGCACCTTAGTCTTCAAACTGACATCTTTGCTCTTGAACATTCTAAAGAGGTCTTGACAGCAGATATGCCTAGTGCAATATGTTATTAGATTTCTTGACTGCTACTTCCATGGCCCAGGACCAGGCCATGTTTCATTGTGTTATGCATAGGGTCACTAAGAGTCGGTGTCGATTCGATGGCACCTGACAACAACAACTTCCATGAGTGTTGCTAGTGGATTCCAGCAAAAGGAAGTCTTTGACAACTTCATTCCTTTTCCCATTTATCATGATGATTTTATTGGTCCGGTGGTGAGGATTTTGTTTTCTTTACATTGAGATGCATTCCATACCAAAGGCTATGGTCTCTGATCTTCATCCGTAAGTATTTTAAGTCCTCTTCACTTTCAGCAAGCAAGGTTGTATCATCTGCATATCGCAGGTTGTTAATGAGTCTTCCTCCAATCCTGATGCCACATTCTTTTTCATATAACCCAGCTTCTCAGATTACTAGCTCAGCATACAGATTGAATAATTATGGTGTGAGAATACAACCCTGACACACACCTTTTTTTGATTTTAAACTATTCAGTGTCTCCATATTCTGTTCAAACGGCTGCCCCTTGGTCTATATGCAGTTTCCTCATGAGCACAATTAAGTGTTCCAGAATACTCATTCTTCACAATGTTGTCCATAGCTTGCCTTTGTGTGGTCTGGTAGTCTCTGCTTTCAGCCAAGATCCATCTGATGTCAGCAATGATAACCTTTGCTCCACGTCCTCGTCTGATCTGGTGTGAACCTCTGGCTGTTCCCTGTGAATATACTGTTCAAATATTTTTGAATTATCTTCAGCAAAATTTTACTTGCATGTGATATTAATGATATTGTTCAGTCATTTCTGCATTTTGTTGGGTCACCTCTCTTTGGACTGAGCACTAACATAAATTTCTTCCAATCCGTTGGCCAAGTAGCTAGCTTCTAAATTTCTTGTCATAGATGAGTGAGTGCCTCCAGTGCTGCATCAGTTTGTTGAAAGATTTCTGTCAGTTTGTCAGACTTTGGTGGATTGCATGATGCTATGATGCGGGAAATGATGCTACTGGTATTTTAAATACCAGCAGGATCACCCACTAAGACAGACTAGGAAGAAGGAGAGATTGACTACTTCTGAACATTTAGCCACTGGGCATGTAGAAGGCTGAATTCAGGGTGCTAGTTCAGAGACAACATGGAGAAATGTTGTCCTGGTGTGGCATTGTGGGTTAATGCACTGGACTGCAAAGTTAGTTTGAATCACAAGGTGGGCAGTTCAAGCTCACCAGCTGTTCCTCAGAAACCCTCTCCAGGGTTGCTGTGAGTCGGAACTAACTTGATCACCCTGAACAACACAACAACCCTTTCTTGTTCCAGGCACTATTCTGGTCATTGTATACATATAAACTCATACAACCCTCACAATAAAATATCAAGAGCGACGTAATAGAGTTTTACAGATGAAGAACTGAAGGCAAGTGAGTCCAACTGATTTGGCAGGTCACAGCTGGTAAATGGCGGAACTAAGACTGGAAGCTCAGGGCCCTGGCTCTCTGGCTGGTCTTCCGTGTACTGCAGCTGGAAGGATTTGATTCTCTGTCACCTGTGTTCCCTCTGTGCCTTGTCGGGGGTGGGGGGGCTTCATGTCTGATGCCTATTCATCTCCCCAGCATCTTCCTCCTCACTACCTGTTTTGAGCATGAACATTGCAATAACACTAATGACCATCAGCGCTCCATCCAGATATGTATGGTTTGGAGCTAACTACAAGGTTGGTGATTTGAATGCACACAGTGGCTCTCGGGGAGGACGGACCAGGTGCCCCCATGAAGACGCCAGCCTAGAAAACCCTAAGGGGCGGTTTGACTCTGTCACGTGAAATTGCTATGGGTTGAAAATGGACTCAACGTTACTCAGCTAGCCAGCTCCTATTCATCCCTCAGGAAGAATCACACAATGCGGCCATGAGGACATCTGAATATTTTGGAATGCTTACGTGCCTCCACATACTCTTCTAAGTCTTTTGCTTTGAGGCTGACTTTAGGGTGGTCATGTGTTTCAGTTAGAATGGGTAGTGCCAGTTTACGGGTATTGTCTTAATGTAATTAGGAATACGTCTCCCTTTTACTCTGATTATTTTGGAGCTGTTTCTCCTCATTTTGAGTTGTACCCCATCAGCAAATGAAGGTCCCGAAGGGTTTACTCTGTTCACGTCATGCTGGTCAACTCTGCTTTGAGGAGGCAGCTCTTCCCCAGTTGTATTTTGAGTGCCTGCCAACCTGAGGGGCTGTATTTAACAATATTCTGGTGCTTTTCATCATGTTTCAATATTCAATATTCTGGCGCTCACAGTGTTTGCCATTTTCAGGGGCTAAACATTCAGGAGTAGTCCACCACTCCTTCTCCCTAGTCCGTCATAGTGTGGATGCTCAGCTGAAACCTGTCCCTCGTAGGTGAGCCTGCTGCTATTTACAATATCAGGGGCATAGCTTTCCAGCATTGCAGCAACTTGCAAGTCCACACAGTCTGACCAAGTGACAGATGTGTGGTGGGTGGGTTCAGCTTCATAACAACATGCAAACCTCCACTGACAGATGGCGGTGGTTGTTTTTGTGATAAAGCAACAGATGAGTGTGGTTGTTTTGTGGTCAAGAATCACACCTGGATTTCAGTGCTCCTTAAATGTTAAAAACCAACCAACCAACCCAAATTGTTGTCTTTGATTTGATCCTGACTCATAGCAACTGTATTGTTGTTGTTGTTGGTAAGTACCGTGGGGTCGGTTCCAACTCATAGTGACCCTGTACAGGGTTTCTGAGGTTATAAATCTTTACGGGAGCAGAAAGCCTCATCTTTCTCCTGTGGAACGGCTGGTAGTTTTGAACTGCTGACCTTGAGGTTAGCAGTCTGATTCGTAACCACTACGCTACCAGAGCTCCTATACGGCAAAGTAAAACTACCCCATGAGCTTTCCATGGCTGTAAATCTTTGGACACTGACTCCAACATCTTTCTCCTGTGGAGCAGTTGGTGGGTTCTAACTGCCAGCCTTTCTGTTAGCATGTGAGTGCCCAACCACTGCACCAGCAGGCCTCCTTTGCCGTCAGTGCTGGGCAGCAGCATCACTAGTGAAGCACTCACCACAACCTCATCCTCCTTTGTCCGGTAACGGGTTTACTTATGTTTCTCCAAAAGATACGTAGAAGTACTAAAGCTTGTCCAACACATATCTCATAGAACCCCTGGTGTGGCCCTTTGGGCTAATGCGCCAGACGGCAAAGCTGTTTGAACTGCAAGATTGGCGGTTCAAACTCACCAGTTGCTCCTCCGAAACTCTATACAGGGTCGCTATGGGTCAGAATTGACTCAACACTTAACAACAACAACAACAACAACAACTAAATCTTGTACATTTGCATGGGGCCTTATTTGGAATTCGGTTATAGAAGATATTATCAGTTAGCATGAGGTCATACCAGAGTAGGTGAGTTCTCATCCCACCTGAGTGATACCATTGTGGAAGACAGAAAGATGCTCAGAGAGAGAGGGATGCAGGTCATGTGAGGATGGAGTGATGCTGAAGCTGAGAGTTAAGCAATGCCTGGGGCTTCCAGAAGCTGAAGGAGACAAGAATGGATCTTCCCCTAGAGCCTTTGCAGGCAATGTGGCTCTGCTGACGTCCTCAATTTGGACTTCTAGTCTCCCAAACTATAAAACATTCCTGTTCTTATAAACCACCCATTATAGTAGCTTCAAAGAGATCCTAAACCAACACATTACTCACA